TGCGTTTGGCGGGCTGTTTACGTTAGAAGTTGCAGCCGGGCGACTGCACTCTTATCTCACATTTCTTCGTTGATAATGATCTTTTGTTTGTTGTGCAAATCAAATATTGCAAACAAAATAAAGAATGCATTTACTGCACCACTTTAGCAATCTCTCCAATTTTTCAGATGACTCCTGCACCAAAGATCACGCATATCATATGGGATTTGGATGGGCTACTTATCGATACCGAGTCAGTGTACACCGATGCAAATGTGAAGGCCATGGCAAAATATGGCAAAAAATACACCTTAGAAGCGAAAGTGCGATCAATGGGTATGAAGCATGATGTTGCTTGTGCAAAAGTTTTGAAAGATGTGAGATTCGATTGGTTTGTTTACTTTCACAATTCAGTTACCGAAAGTTGATCTTTTTCATAAGCCAGTAAATTTTTGTGCATTAAGGGTTAGCAGTGCAATTTCTACGCATCCTAGGTATTTTTGTTCCTAACTTCTAACTGTGACGATTCCATAAATTCTCAGTTATGAAACTGCCACTTTAACGTTTTTGATGGGCACTCGACATCAAAGAGTTCAGTCCTAACTGCATCAGAATCTTCGATAATGATACTCTCAGACGTGGTAAACCATCTCACCGGAATTCTCATAATATTTGGAGTTCGCTAAGAGACCGGGAGGAAACGATTTCTCATGTACAATAACATTGCTGCTCTCTGGAACATTTATTGAAGCATGTCAAACACAACGATATCTTTTAACATATGTCCATGCTACAGTTTTCTTTTTTTACGAACATTTTTTTGTGAAATGACGGTAAATTGCGTATGTTTGATTTAAATAAATCGACGAATATCCAGAGTAGAACCTTCAATTAACGGAAAACAGGAGCGCATCGAACAGATCGATCATTCATTAGATGTATCCACCGAGATAACGTAGCATAGTAGTATATTTTGCAAACGTCCGTTTAAGATTGAANATTAAATTCTCTATTTTCAAGGTTGGTCTTGAAGGGCAAGTGAGTGTGAAGGAATATTCACAATTATATGATCAACTATTACGCGAAATGTTACCGGATTGTGGTATGATGAAAGGTGCGATGAAGTTAGTTCAGCATTTTGCTAAACACAACATTCCGATGGCTATTTGTACGGGTTCGTGTACCTTTGAATATGAGCTGAAGGTGAAGAACCATCAGGATCTTGTTCAGTTAATACCGTTAAGTGTAAGTGTTAATACCTTCGTTTCAGTGGTGGTATTTTCATCAATTCAATAACTTGATCGCATATTGTTTGCTTTCAGACTTACCGCTGTAATTTTGAATACTTGATCTGAACTTAATCGATAATCTCTATCCAAATCATGATTATAAGTACTAATTAGAATCTGGAAATAAGGTACGTCATCTTTCTAAAGCTGGCGAGAATAAGTTTCATGTTTACTTTTTATTAGGTGCTTACTGGTGACGATCCAGAGGTTCTTCATGGTAAGCCTGCTCCGGATGGTTTCTTGGTAACAATGAATCGGTTCCCGCAAAAGCCAGCATCAGCCGAGAATGTGCTTGTGTTTGAAGATTCACCCAATGGTGTGCGATCTGCAGTTGCGGCTGGTATGCATGTCGTAATGGTACCAGACTGGAGTTATTCGAAACCACCAGAGGATATTAAAGACCGCATATTCGCTGTTTTGAACAGTTTAGAGGAATTTAAACCTGAATCTGTTGGACTACCAGCGTTAGAATAACTTTAGAAACCTTCGATTTGTTCGTATTTAAGTTAAGTTGTTTTCGCGTATCGTTTACTCCTTGACTACTGATTAGAATTTTTCCGTTAACACCCTCTAAAATATTGTGAGGCACAATTTGATTTGTTCGTGTTAGGCGGAAACCACTCACTCGCTGAGTAAAAAAGTTGAACCTATCAACTAGGCTATTATATTCATCTGAAGAAATTGTGAAATGCCTCTGGAGATAAGAATCGCATTAAGTTTTTGCAAGTTTTATCTATATTAGGCGTAATTTAATTTTATGTCACGTTCATTTTGTTAAGTAATGTGTTTACATGCGATTACAATGGAAGATGGAATTGTTCTCGCACTAAAAGTTGTTTCCTTGCTGCTTTGAGCAGTGAGAGTAATCTTAATCGGGTTAACTTTCTAACGATGATATTAATTCACTTACCTTCACATCTTTTGTGCAAAACGATCGCGGTTTATGGCGATATTCAAAGGATTACGTCGCAGTTATTATTCGCAGAAATGCCCAAAAACATGTTGTAAATCCTGTTCAAAGCAAAAGATTAATCGCTTCATCACGAAAAGACTGTCATTCGATTAAATTTTTTATGCTCGTTGTTATTGTTACTGTTTTGTTGTGTTCAAAATTCATTGATGATCGAATGTGTTGTACTTTCTGGTCTCTGTCCGTTGATTTTGAATCAGCCGTTTGCATTAATTTCATAATTCAGTACATAATTTGCTCCTTCCTTGTTTTCATTCCAGTTGATACTGTTTTAAGATGTTTTGAAACTCGATATTCTCTTCATAGATATCCGTTTCTCTGTGGCAGAAATCATTATAATGATCTTCAGTTGTTGTGATCTTCATATATAACACGTTAGGTGTGCAATTACCACTGAGTTTATGCAAATGAAATAAAGTTCATTCTCCTCTGAAACTCTATCGTAATAGTTGATTTCGGTTTGGTTACATCCACGAATTGTTGCTATCCATTAGGAGTGAAGTTTTTGAATTGTTGGCAATAAAGTTTCTAAATCGTTGAGCAGTTGTGTTCGTTAATGGTATGTGATTTTGAATGATTGAGTCATAACGAAAGCATTTCTATTCGGTGAATAACAGCAAGATTGTTTACTTGTCTATTCCTTCAGCATGCACATTTAGTGGTTATTTATTCATACTTGTGCATAGTCCTCATTTACTATGTTGTAATTATATTGAATTTTCGGCCGAATTATCACCAAATTGTGGCTAAA